TAACTCAAAAACTACTCGTTTGAATTTTGATTCTGACACTTCAAAATTTTCAGAAAAATTATCCACTATACATAATTTACAGTATAAAAGGGGGCTTTTTATTTAAAAAAGAGAAGTTTGTATCTCCACAGGACTTTTTAAAATTCCAATAATCAGATTTTCTATAACTACATTATTGAAGAAAAAATAGTTTAACATGCTTGGTGAATCATCCTGTAGGTATATTCCAACTACAACGTGGTCAGTATTAATATACCTTCGGCTATGTAATATTTTTTATTGTTTGAAGTCGAAACACAAAACGTAACATATTAATTTGTGTACACACCACAGGTGAGACGGTTAGCGTAAAATTTCGATTTGAGAATAATATTTAAAAAAAAAAACCAAGAAAGTATAAATAACATTATGCCACTATATTATTTTATATGGCACACTGCTACACACCTATAGTAATAGTATGCACGTTTATAAACTACATATTTACACCATAATATTATAATATAATTTACTGACTAACTATTTTTTTGTTTTGTCTTTCTTCCTTTACATACTATAATAAGGATACAAATAATAATTTAGTATCAGTAAGCTAATAATATAGCGCTTATAATATTATAAAATTGTATTGTATAGGTACTCCATTAGGAACAGTTTTGACCAAAATTCGTTGAAAAATACACACGTTCGAGTGCGGACGTGAACAGACACAAGTACATTTTGCTGCATAAACATGTTTTTGAAATTCATCGTTTTAGGTTTCTAAACATTTGTTTAGAACACCTTATAATTTATATAGATGTTGTGTCCGTCCGACCGTTAGTTATCAGTACATATAGTTACGATTATTGATTTCAAGTAATTACTTAATGTATAAGTATTTAATATACATTTAAACTATCCAAAATATTAAGGTTACAAAATGCTTATAAAATTGTAATTGTAATTATAATTTATTGCTTTACATTAAAATACGTTAGAAACCGGGAATTTAGCACTCTTGCAGAGTGAGCTTTCCTAACTTATTTCTTCGATATTTATAACCCTACATTTTATCAAAAGTGAAAAATTATCAAATTTTTACTGTTTTTTTGTTTATCATTACGGGTTTTAATTATTTTGATGACAACATATAGGTACATTTTAAATTCAATGATCAGATGCCGAACCTTTCGAAACAATTTAATGTTGGTATAAAATACATCAAAATAATATTGAATAAATATTAAATATTTTTCTTTATTAATAATCATTTATAGTTTAGATTATAGTGGATTAAAATGGGGGTACCCCGAAAAACTAGAGGTCCACTTCCGATATTGTTTATTCAATACTATGAGTACATCAACATTTTTAAAAAAGTATTCTGCCTCTGATTATGAAATTAAAAATTTAATGTTGGTTTCCCACTATAGAGGCCTAAATAATGGAAAAAATTAGTATTTTCCTCAAAAGTTTAGCATTAAAAATAGGTAGGTACTTCACAAACTGTATAAAAACATTTTATTCAAAAACATTAAAATTGACTTAAATAATTAGAATAGCAATTTCAAATTGATTGCTCCGACGCTCCATATAATATACAATTTAATACTATTACGTCATGCACAATAAAAATAATACCCACTTGTGAGTAATAACTTAATAATGGTATTCTACCTAAAAGCACGGTAAAAAAACCAGTAAAACAAGTCCAATGGAATAAAAGTTCAAGTATAAAAGTCCGGTAAAAAAATCCAGCATATATTTTTATAAATAATAGGTACTCACAGATAATATTTTTTAAATTAACACATTTAACTTGAATTTCATATTGTTCAAATACTTGTACATGAACAAATAAATATAATCATAGAAAAAAATGTTTCAAAAATAATACAAATTTAAATAAATATTTCTTATCAACTATACAACATTTAACGTATAGTAGTATATAGTGAACATTTTATACATATATTATACACTATATAGTATATATATTACACAGAGTAATGTAATTCACTAGGTGCCTATAATATCTATAGTATATACAGAGTAGTTCAAATTTTTAATTTATTCCAGCAATGGGGGTGTTCTAGCTGAGAGGACGTCAGAAAAGTCACTGTTATACATGTTGGGGGGCTGGAAATATAAAGGAAGGGAGAATGTCCAAATATCAACCGATTTAAATACAAAAAAATTATTATTTAAAACTTTAATGAACTTAAATTTAATAAAATAATTAATTTATAATCTTTGACTCCGTGGTAATTAGCGGTTAGGTACTCGAGTATATACGATTTTCCTTTAAACTCAACTCTGTTGCTGCGACAGAACACTGCAGCCCAATATTATTTTATTACAATTATGTAATTCAAACGATAAAATAATATAAGTAGATCTGCTTAGCAAAACTTACCTACCTCAATGATAAGTCACCCACAAACAATTATAAGGTATGTATTAAATTCGGGTAATCGTAGACTGTTTTATTCCATTTGACTTTTTTCACTGAGTATATTTATTTTGTCGATCTTCGCTCGTTTTTCGTCGGACTTTTGTTCGGATGATTCCTTATAATAAGTACCTATGTCATAACTCATATTAAACTAGCTGATCCGCACTGCGTTGCCGGTGACAAATTATAAATGCCCTTTTACTAACCACTTCATAAACACCGTTAAATGTAAACTGCATGGTTTTTTTCTGCACAGTTGTTTGGCTCTTATATTATAATAGTTATTTTATTTTGGCAACAAATAACAATAAATAAATTTAAAAAAAATTATAGCTTTCCGCGAGTCATCAATTATTATATTAATTTATGTGTTGAAAAGTAAAAAGTTAGTGATAATAAGGACACTCCAGATTTTGTTGAATCTATTGACAAACATTTTATAAAATCGGTCGAATTGCATATAGGTCAACAGTTTTAGGCTTTTGACAATATTATATAGTAGATCATATTATATTTATTAATTATAGCTGATCCTACATCATATGGACTTCCTCGTGAAAAATTAAATAATGTCAGTAGATTTACCTTGTGTTAAACCCCGGTAAATGTTAACTATTGCGTCCCCGTTCATGCAAAACACACTAAGTCCAAAAATCGGGTTTTCCGGTTTATTGTCATATAAAATTCAGTTTAAAATATCTACAATATGCTGTATTCAACTAAGTCCCAATATTATTTAAAGATGTTTAATATACAATTCAAAATGTTAACTAAGTCCATTCGATGTTTTCCTTAATACGCAGAATATGGAATTATAGATTGGAAAAATTGCAAAAGCTCATACTCAAAAATCATGTTTTTGGACTTGGTGTGTTTTGCATGAACGGGGACGATTGCAGGTTGCATTTTTAACACTCTCATGGTTTTGACGAAATATAAAATATGGGTCTTAAATTATATAAAATTATAATAACTGTTTTATTTTCTGTAACCATGGCAACTCTAGATGTACAAACAAAAAAATATTTGTTTTTTTTTAATCCAACAAATCCCTGTGTGAGCCCCTCTTTAAAATGCAAAATGTAAAAAATTGACTTCAAGGTGCACATCCTCGGGTATAGGATTACCATTAGATACCTGTGTACCAAATTTCAGAACCATTAGTGCGATCGACTTGGCTGTGGATCGCTTACACAGTTACACACACGCACATACACAAACACAAACATTGTCTTTTGTTAATATTGTCATATATAGACAATATTATATTACTATAATAGTATACCGTGTACACATCTAGGCTGCACGTCGGGAAAAACTATTAATTTCTTTTACACTTATATAAATTATGTACGTATAGGTATATAGATTGAACCGCCTTGCGTTATACCTACACTTACGTAATCATAATATTATTGAAGGTACACAAAGTTTAGGTACATAATAATATACGGAGTGTGGCAAAAAAACTCCTCGGTTCGATAATGTTTTAGTTTGGGCGAGGTTGAGGGTACATAGTAATTACAAAATATACAGAAAGCAATATCGACGAAATGTAAGTATTCATCATTACACAGCTCGTCGTTCATTCGACATTCGGCGAGAAATGAGTTCTGGCCATTGACTACTTTCGTTGTGACATGAAAACATACTATCATAATATTATGTTAGTCGATCTACCTACCTACCTACCTACATGTGAATCCTGTTCTAAAAACAATTCAGTATTTATACTTGTAACGAATGTAATGTACCATATAGGCGTGAGCAGTGGGTATGCAGGGTATGCAGTTGCATACCCTGAAGCTCTTTGAGGGGTGAAATTCGACTCTGGAAAATAATTTTATTTTGCTCTAGAAAAATAATTAGTACCTCTATTAAAATATTTATAATGATAAAAATATATGATTAAATACGAGGGAAATGATATCAGACTAACGGCAGGGATAACATTTGATTCACGTACAGAATGATAATGAGGTGATTGCAATGCTAACCACCGTCTGACGTATGAACATAGCACTGCCTATGATGTCCGTGCTATTAGCAAATTAAACATCCACTTATCGGTTATCAATAACTATCAAGTATTTGCAAAATGCATACTTCTTGTATTTCTCATAGTATTTGTTACTGATGTGTACCGGCGCGCTGTTATTCCTAGTTTAGAGATTAGGGACGTGTTTTAAAGAAATAATGCAAAGATTCTGTTTAAAAGATTAAAAGATGTGTTTATTGACTTATTAAAATGATTTTCTGTATAAAAATGAAAAGAGGTTCTGACTGGACGCCTGTGTCTACGAGACTGCCGAGGCGGCCGTGACCAAGGGGCCCTTCTGTACAACGGCCAGGGTGGGAATCGCTGGATCAGCAGATTCCTGGTCGAGCGTCCGGCTCCGTAGTCACGTACGCCAGTATACATATCATAATACAAATATTATACTCTAATATAACTATATACTACATACTATGCTTACATATAACATGCCCCCAGGGCCAAACCAGAGCAGTCCCTGCGACTTAATATACTAAAAAAAACAATATATATATAATTACAGAAAAATTAACATTCAGTTTCTGCTATTTCTGGCTTATAAACATAGGTTTTTTGCTTTTTTGATTTTACAAATAAAAATACGATAACTATTACTACTATTAAAATACAAAGATATTCTACAATAATATGATATTCCATTGGAACTATTAAAATGTTTTCTGTTATTCTATTATTCGATTTTCGTTCTATTGTGGATTCACGTATTGCTTGGCGGAGATTTTTATATAAACCAAAATGACTGAGTGTATGGGGATTAATATCTTCTATATCTAATTCCTTGATGTTACTTATATTAAACAACGGACTTTCCGGTACTAAATCTAATGTATGGTTAATAAATGTGTTTAAGATAGGTGACATTATTGCCATAGTTGTGTGTAGTATACAAGAAGGAGAGATACTAAGTCGGCCAATGCCTTTAATATTAAACTGGAATGATTTTTGAGGGTTTTTACAATTTAGGGTTACAAATTCAGAACGAGTACAATAAATCCAAGAATCCGTTTTAAATAATCGGTTCCAAATGCTTACATCAAGTTTTATGTATTTACTTTTACATGAAATCGGAAGAAATTGCGGATTTTTTAAGATTTCTACCTCGCACATTTTAGAGGATGCCCTTCGTTGAATTGGTTCATTGCCTTTGCAAATAGTGTATGAAGTTAGCCTAGTACAAGAATCACTTTGTTGTTGAGTCAAGGTGAAATAGAATTCGCTATCATCGCTAAAAGCTATATAATCAATCTCTGGCTCAATGATAACAGCATTGTCCTCCTTCATAAAAAAGGGTAATGGAATGGGGTGATACATGTCGTAGCTATTTACAGTGATTATAGGGAAATGCAATGCAAAAACGAGAAGAAAATCTTTTTGTAGTATGGAAACAGAAGATATTGAGAAAAACTCTGGTACATTCTGTATTTTTGGTTCTACTGGAAGTTGGGTTCCTGCAGGTAACGTTAATTGGATTGCTTTAAGTTCCTTAATAAGCTTAATTGGTGGTAATACTGTGGAGTGAATTTTTCCATGAATTGCTGAATTTATAATAGAAATGAGATTTTGCGTTTCGTACGCGTATTGATTAAGGAGTGATTCTAAAATAATAGATTGTTCTAACAAAGTGGTTTTTACCATTAATGTATTCACTGTCATAGAATTTTTGTTTGCCTGAGTTTGTAGAAGTTGAAAATTTTCTTTGAGCTTTTGTTGATGGTCGGATATGTTGCTGATCGATTTTGAAATCTCACTCATAGTTGTTTGGAATAATCTAGTTTGATTTTCTACTAAATCACTTGTCGGTTGTTTCGTCATGGAAAGATCCTTAATCCCTTGAAGAATCGAATTTACATCTAAAAATGATTTTGAGCTGAATAATACTTTTGCCAGCTTGGTGAGTGAAGTACCAAAACTGCGACGAACTCGTCCTTCCGCACTAGTATCCTGCCCTATTGTTGTCCAAATATTTTCCAGATTGGCTTCGATTTCGAAAAAATATGTATTAATGGATTGATCGAATTGTTTGCATGGATGCCAGAATTCGGTTACATTAACTTTATATTGTAGATCAGTGCAAACTTCTGCCGTGGCTTTATATGTTGACCTTAACAACTGAAATTTTGAATTAAAATTGGATAAATCCACAAAAGTTATGAGGTTCCAATCTGTGTTAGTGAGTTTGATATGTTCCCTGAATTCATAGTACATCCCCATGTGGTCCGAGAAGGTATTCAAGCTAATTAGACTTTCTGGAAGTTGTGTAATACTTTCTGCTTGCACATCCAGTGGGACAGTTGCTACCAGCCTGTAAGATTTCGATTATGTTACAAAGTAGTTGCTATAAGATCTAAGAACTTCCCCAATATTAATGAATTAGTGTGCCGTTAAGGAAAAGGTGCATATAAAAAAAAAGATATGTACAAATTAGTAATTCCATATGGCTACTCTTTAAATATTTTCACTAAATTCTTATGGACTTTGGTTTTCCGTTTCCCTCTCTGTATTGTCACATTCTCGTTCTCGTTGATTTCCAGTACGACGTATGGGCCTAACCATTTAGGGCTTAACTTACCCTTTCTAGTTTTGTCCTGAATAAGCACTCTATCGTTAACATGAATCGTTATTGGATTTGACGTTTGATCATAACTAGCCTTGGTTTTGATTTTGTTCTTCATTAAACGTTCTCGAGCTATACGATGAGATTCTCGTAGCCTTTGTTTAAGTTCTTCTTGATAATCGTCGTAGTTATACTGTGGTTCCGGTGGTTTTGTTAGTGATGAGGGTACTTGTAAGGTTCTCCCATAGAGAAGTGCATAAGGTTGTTTGCCAGTGGATTGATGTTCCGATGAGTTGTAAGTAAACATGGCGTATGGTATGTAGGTATCCCAATTCTGTTGGTCTGCATCTACATAGTGTCTGAGGTATTCTCCTAGCGTGCGGTGACTCCTCTCTAGTGCACCATTCGCTTGTGGGTGGTATGGAGATGTATTTATGCGTTTTACTCCTATTAATTTACATGTTTCGGAAAAGATTTTATTAAGGAACTCGGTTCCTTGATCGCTTATTAGATTCTGTGGAATACCGTGAATGCACACAAATGAGGTGACGAAATGATACGCTACCGTATTAGCTTCTTTGTTAGCCATGGGTGTTGCCACCGAAAATTTGGTTAAGTCACACTGAAGGGTGAGGATGTATACATTTCCTTGATAAGATCGAGTGAGTGGACCAACTACGTCGATAAATACTCTTTCAAAGGGTTCGGATGCGGTGGTACTGATTACCATTGGTTGCTTGGTACTACGCAACGAAGTCTTATTCGTTTGACAGGATGAACATTTGCTAATGAATTCAGTGACATCTTGACTTAGCCCCTCCCAATCAAACTGCTTCTGAATTCGCTTGACTGTCTGATTGACTCCACGATGTCCACCAAGTACTGCCGAATGATGTTCACTTATAATTTGTTGTTTATCTAGTGCGGAAACACTTTGTTTAGAGAATATCTGTATATTAATTTCTGAGTTTTGAAATATGTACTTGATCATTCGTAACACCGTAGGCCAATCTAATTGGTCTAATCCACAACCAATTTTGGGCATGGCTAGGTTCTTGATTTCAAATTCTTGACAAAAAAATCGGAGGTTCCGTAAAGAAATGTACATGTCTTCCAAAGTTGGCTTTTGCCAGAATTTATCCTTCGTTACGAGGTTGATGATGTATCGTGCTCCCAATTGAAAGTATGCTACCTCGGTTTTTTTCGGGCGCTGAAGTTTCAAATTCTGTAGGTGTCCGAATTTCCTTCGAAATTCCAGGGCGATACCCTGATTCAGCTTTAGATCAGCCGACACGCAGTGTAGTAAATGGAATTCTTCTGAAACGGTGAAGAGGTCTCCAGTTACCTCCTGGACTCGTGTGTTCCGATGATTTTGACATTCACTATCCGATATGTACTCGTGGAAGAGTTTCACATTTATAAGTGATTCTGCTGATTGTTGTTGAGACCTGGTTTGCATGACTTTAACTTCCATTATTCGACTTAGTGCGTCAGCGTTGGTATTGGACTTTCCAGTTTTGTAAATTACTTCATATTGGTATTCGGCTAACTTTAATCTCCAACGTAGAAGTCTTGAACCTGGATCTTTTACATTAAACAACCAAGTTAATGGTCTGTGGTCCGTGTAAATTTTGAATTGACGCCCAAGTAAATAAGGTCTGAAGTTCTTTACAGCCCAGACTATGCTTAGCAACTCTTTTTCGGTCGTACTATATGCTTGTTCGGCTTTATTAAGAGTTCTGGATGCGTATGCGATAGGTCGATCCTGTCCCGGTGTACCCTGTGACAAAATACTTCCAATTGCGAATTGGCTGGCATCTGTGGTTAGGATAAATGGTCTTTCAAAATCAGGATATTGTAATACTGGTGCTTCTACGAGTTTCTGCTTGAGCGTTTCAAAAGCTCCTTGACATTCGGTCGACCATTCAAATGGTACGTCTTTGCTTAAAAGTGCTGTAAGTGGTTTCGCTGTTTGGCTGTATCCTTTAATAAATCTCCTATAATAGCCAGATAACCCCAAGAACTGCTTGATTTCCGTTGTATTTCTGGGAACTGGGTGGTTTTGTACGCATTGGATTTTTCCCGGATCAGGTTTGACTCCTTTATCTGTAATGAGATGTCCTAGATATATCACCTCTCTCTGTAGGAATTGACACTTTGATGGTTGTAAGCGAAGATTAAACTTTCTGAGTCTTGAAAATACATCCCGTAATTTGGATTCATGGTCCTGTAAGTCTGAAGCGTAAACAATTATGTCGTCTAAATATACAAAGGCCTTGGTCCCGTTGATCCCTGTTAGAGCTGTGTTCATTAAGCGTTGAAACGTACTAGGAGCTCCGCTTAACCCGAATGGCATTCTCCGAAACTCATAGTGGCCCTTGTCAGTAGAAAACGCTGTTTTTTGACGATCTTCTGCTTTTATTGATACTTGATGGTATCCACTAACCAAATCCAACGTGGTATAGTATCTCGACCGGCCTAATTGGTCTAAGATTTCGTCTATCCTAGGTATAGGGTATGCATCTCCAACGGTCAGTTCATTAAGGCGTCTGAAATCAACACACACTCGGTATTTTGGGTTTCCGTGAGCATCTGGTTTCTTCGCGACCACGATGAGTGGTGCGTTCCAAGGGGACTCGGAAGGCTGTATAACATTGTTACTTTCTAACTCTTCCATTTGTCTGACAATCTCTTGACGGTGAGCGTATGGCAATCTATACGGTCGAACGTTGACAGGTTTCGCTCCTTCCTTTAGGTGGATTTCGTGCTGTATTGCATCGGTAGAAGGGAATGAATCCCCCTCCAGCTGGAAAATATCTGGGTACTCGCTAATCACCTTCCAGAGACTATTTGATTCTTCCGCATTTAACTCTCGATATAGTATAGCTTCCCGAATGCGACTAATGCGATGCGTGTCTTCCGTAATTTCGTCAGTATTTGTCGCGATCAACGTGGAGGTTTCTCGGAACTCCTCAAATTCAATTTCTTCTATATTTAAAGGTGGTATCGTAATGTGCTCTTCTGAAGTGTTGATGGCAATAGCTAATATTTTTCCATGCTTAACTGTGTTTACCACATTTCCGAGACGGACGTTTTCTCCTTGTAGAACTTGTGAATGGACTACTAAAGCTGTTCCTTCCGGTCTCGTGCTAGCGATTGGTACGATGGTTTCTGAACGCGGCGAAAGTTTGAGAGGATCGGTATTCATTTGAAAGATTTTGGACGAATAATAATCTATTGCGATACGATTTTCGGTAAGAAACGGGTTTCCTAGAATACCTTCATGAGGGATTGGGAAATCGTCATGGACTACCTGGAATTTGGTTGTAAGGGTTTCAGTGCCAAGATTTAAATTGAGGATTACGGAACCTAGCGTGCGTACTAAGTATTCATTGATTCCTTTTAGCTGATAACTTTGAGTTTCATCAACCATGACTTCATTTCTTAAAGTGGATAATTTTATCATATTTAAATCACTACCAGTATCTATAAGTAATTTAACACTATTTGTCAAGCACTGAGGAATTTTTAATGTGATATGCTTATTAATTAATTCTGCCTGGAAATAGAAAGCCCTTGCAGGTTCAGAGTGGCTGTTTTGATATCCCCCACCGGGCGAGCGCCACTTGGACCCGGCGTTTGTTCGTTTCCCGACGAAGTGCTTTGTTGCTCCTGTGCCTTACGTTCATTAACGTACTTTCGTTTGCGACATTCACTTATAGTGTGGTTCGGTTTTTTACAATAGTTGCACGTAACT